AGTGCAGAAGCTAGAGCATCAGGCGCATATAACAGGAAGGGCACTGCAATGGATCAGAGAATACCTGACAGGGAGGCAACAACGAGTCATGGTACGTAATGATGTATCACAGTGGGCACCTGTGACGAGCGGGGTCCCACAGGGGTCGGTCCTAGGACCAGTGCTATTTTTGGTATATGTGAACGACATGACGGAAGGGTTAGACTCAGAAGTGTCCCTGTTTGCAGATGATGTGAAGTTAACGAGGAGAATTAAATCAGATGAGGACCAGGCAGGACTTCAAAGAGACCTGGACAGACTGGACACCTGGTAGAGCAAATGGCTTCTCGAATTTAATCCTGCCAAATGCAAAGTCATGAAGATGGGGGAGGGGCACAGAAGACCACAGACAGAGTTTAGGCTAGGTGGCCAAAGACTGCAAACCTCACTCAAGGAGAAAGATCTTGGGGTGAGTATAACACCGAGCATGTCTCCGGAAGCACACATCAATCAGATAACTGCTGCAGCATATGGGCGCCTGGCAAACCTGAGAACAGCATTCCGATACCTTAGTAAGGAATCATTCAAGACACTGTACACCGTGTATGTCAGGCCCATACTGGAGTATGCAGCACCTGTTTGGAACCCGCACTTGATAAAGCACGTCAGGAAACTAGAGAAAGTACAAAGGTTTGCGACAAGGTTAGTTCCAGAGCTAAGGGGAATGTCCTATGAAGAAAGATTAAGGGAAATCGGCCTGACCTCACGGGAGGACAGGAGGGTCAGGGGAGACATGATAACGACATATAAAATACTGCGTGGAATAGACAAGGTGGACAAAGACAGGATGTTCCAGGGAGGGGACACAGAAACAAGAGGCCACAATTGGAAGTTGAAGACACAAATGAGTCAGAGAGATAGTAGGAAGTATTTCTTCAGTCATAGAGTTGTAAGGCAGTGGAATAGCCTAGAAAATGACGTAGTGGAGGCAGGAACCATACACAGCTTTAAGACGAGGTTTGATAAAGCTCATGGAGCGGGGAGAGAGAGGGCCTAGTAGCAACCGGTGAAGAGGCGGGGCCAGGAGCTAGGACTCGACCCCTGCAACCACAAATAGGTGAGTACAAATAGGTGAGTACACACACACACACACACACATACAAAGGAAACTCAACAGGATGATAACAAATGCAATCTTTCCAACCGGATATCAAATCCTCAGGAAAGATAGAGGGAGGAGAGGGGGAGGAGGAGTTGCACTGCTCATTAAAAACCGGTGGGGATTTGAGAAAATGGAAGAAATGGATGGCATAGGCGAAAGGGACTACTTAGTAGGAACAATCCAGTCTGAGGGCCATAAGGTGGAAATTGCAGTAATGTACAATCTGCTACAGAACTGCAGGAGGCCAAGAGAACAATACAAAGAGAGCAACAGAGCAATGGTCGACACACTAGCCGAGGTGGCCAGAAGGGCTCACATGGGGGGAGCAAAGTTGCTAGTTATGGGTGATTTCAATCACAAGGAGATTGACTGGGAAAACCTGGAGCCCCATGGGGGTCCCAAAACATGAAGAGCCAAGATGATGGATGTGGTACTGGAAAACCTCATGCATCAACATGTTAGAGACACTACCAGAGAGAGAGGTGAGGATGATCCAGCAAGACTGAACCTTGTATTTACTTTGAGTAGTTCGGACATCGAGGATATCACGTATGCTTTGACTACATAGTTGAGCTACAAGTGGAGAGAGTAGCAAGAATAGAATGGGAAAAAACAAACTACAAAAGGGAAGACTATCCAGGCATGAGGAACTTCCTACAAGACATTCACTGGGAGAGAGAACTGACAGGAAAACCAGTACAAGAAATGATGGACTATGTGACAACAAAATGCAAGGAGGCAGAGGAGAGGTTTGTTCCCAAGGGAAGCAGAAATAATGTGAAGACCAGAACGAGTCCTTGGTTCACCCAAAGGTGTAGGGAGGCAAAATCTAGGTGTACTAGAGAATGGAAAAGGTATAGAAGACGAAGGGCCCGGGAAAATAAAGAGATCAGCTGAAGAGCCAGACACGAATATGCACAGATATGAAGGGAGGCTCAGCGACTATTCGAAAATGACATAGCATCTAAAGTCAAGTCTGACCCAAAGCTGTTGTATAGCCACATCAGGAGGAAAATAGCAGTTAAGGACCAGGTAATCAGGCTGAAGAATGATGGTGGGGAGTTCACAAGAAACGACCAAGAGATATGTGAGGAGCTCAACATGAGATTTAAAGAAATATTTACAGTGGAAACAGTTAGGACTTCAAGAATTCAGAACAGGGAATTACACCAACAAGTGCTGGATGAGGTACACATAATCGAGGAGGAGGTGAAGAAGCCGCTATGTGAACTTGATACCTCAAAGGCGATGGGACCAGACAACATCTCTCTGTGGGTCCTTAGAGAGGGAGCAGAGATGCTGTGTGTGCCAGTAACAAAGATCTTCAACACATCCATTGAAACTGGGCAACTACGTGAGGTAGGGAAGATGGCAAATGTAGTCCCAATTTTTAAAAAAAGAGACAGACACGAGGCATTAAACTACAGACCTATGTCACTAACGTGTATAGTATACAAAGTCATGGAGAAGATCATCAGGAGGAGTGTGGTGGAGCACTTGGAAAGAAACACGTGTATTACTGACAACCAGCACGGTTTCAGGGAAGGAAAATTTACTAGAGTTTTATGTCAAAGTGACAGAAATAAGACTAGAGAGAGAGAGATGGGGGGTGGAGAGACTTCATTTTCTTGGACTGCAAGAAGGCCTTCGACACAGTTCCTCACAAGAGATTAATGCAAAAGCTAGAGGATCAGGCACACATAACAGGAAAGGCACTGCAATGGATTAAAGAATACCTGACAGGGAGGCACCAACATGTCATTGTATTTGACGAGGTGTCAGAGTGGGCGCCTGTGACAAGTGGGCTCCACAGGGGTCAGTCATAGGACCTGTGCTGTTTTTGGTATATATGAATGACATAACGGAAGGGATAGACTTAGAAGTGTCCTTGTTTGCAGATGATGTGAAGTTAATGAGGAGAATCAAATCGTTCGAGGATCAGGCAGGGCTACAAAGAGACCTGGACAGGCTACAAGCCTGGTCCAGCAACTGGCTCCTTGAACTTAACCTTGCCAAATGCAAGGTCATGAAGATCGGGGAAGGGCAAAGAAGACCGCGGACAGAGTATAATCTAGGTGGCCAAAGACTGCATACACCACTCAGGGGAAAACAGTATAATACCGAGCACATATCCTGAGGCGCACATCAGTCAGATAACTGCTGCAGCATATGGGCGTCTGGCAAAACTAAGGATAACATTCCGATACCTCATTAAGGAATCGTTCAAGACTCTGTATACCATTTACGTCAGGCCCATACTGGAGTATGCAGCACCAGTTTGGAATCCACACCTGGTCAAGCACGTCAAGAAATTAAAGAAAGTGCAAACGTTTGCAACAAGACTAGTCCCAGAGCTAAGGGAATTGTCTTATGATGAAAGGTTAAGGAAAATTGGCCTGACGACACTGGAGGACATGAGGGTCAGGGGGGACATGATAACAATATATAAAATACCGCGCAGAATAAACAAGGTAGGCAAAAACAAGATGCTTCAGAGATGGGGCACAGAAACAAGAGGTCACAGTTGGAAGTTGAAGACTCAGATGAGTCAAAGCGATGTTAGAAAGTATTTCTTCAGTCATAGAGTTGTCAGACAGTGGAATAGCCTAGAAAGTGACGTAGTGGGGGCAGGAACCATAATCATTTTAAGACGAGGTTTGATAAAGCTCATGGAGCAGGGAGAGAAAGACCTAGTAGCAATCAGCAAAGAGGCCGGGCCAGGAGCTATGCCTCGACCCCTGAAACCACAAATAGGTGAGTACAAATAGGTGAGTACACACACAAGTAGATAATGTAGAGCCAGGATGTCTATGGACGAAAAGAGAAATGTTGCTCGATGGATTCATACACATGATGGATGAAGTGTGGGATAAATGCTCGTAGATCTTGACATAGTGATGGAGGACGTACTGGAGGCAAACGGGGTACAAATGAGTGGGGATATTGCTGAGAAAAAGATATGCAGCCTTGGAGAAGTTCTCAAAAAAGCTAAGGAAGGAACTAGAGGGAATGAAGGGAAGGAGATGTTAGGCAGTGACAGAACCAAATACAACAGATGGGGAGCACTGCAATGATGGTGAGAACTGGAGCACTGCCATGATGGTGAGAGGTGGAGCACTGCCATGATGGTGAGAGGTGGAGCACTGCCATGATGGTGAGAGCTGGAGCACTGCCATGATGGTGAGAGCTGGAGCACTACAATGATGGTGAGAGCTGGAGCACTGCCATGATGGTGAGAGCTGGTGCACTGCCATGATGGTGAGAGCTGGAGCACTTCCATGATTGTGAGAGCTGGAGCACTGCCAGGATGGGAAGAGTTGGAGAACTGCCATGATGGTGAGTGCTGGAGAACTGCTATGACGGTGAGAGCTGGAGCACTGACATGAAGGGGGAGAGCTGGAGCACTGACATGAGGGGGAGAGCTGGAGCACTGACATGAGAGGGGAGATCTGGAGCACTGACATGACGGGGGAGAGCTGGAGCACTGACATTAGGGGAAGAGCTGGAGCACTGACATGACGGGGGAGAGCTGGAGCACTGACATGACGGGGGAGAGCTGGAGCATTGACATGACGGGGGAGAGCTGGAGCACTGACATGACGGGGGAGAGCTGGAGCACTGAAATGACGGGGGAGAGCTGGAGCAGTGATATGAGGAGGATATTAAAAAATAGAATAAACTGAGAAGGCAGAGAGGTGAGACAGAAAGACAAAGATAGGTACGTAATAAAAGTTTGGTTACCTGACAATGAAGACTCTGGAGTAGTCAGGGAAGAGGCAGGTGTTGATAAGGATGCGAAGAGCGAAAGTCAGCTGCAGGTGTTGTTGCTGTGTTTCCAACTTACTCATTCTACGTGTCTCTGAAAACACGTATTACAAAGTAATGGAGCAAGTGTTACTTGAAAATATATATATATATATATATATATATATATATATATATATAATATATATATATATATAATATATATATATATATAATTATATATAATATATATATAATATATTTTATTATATTTTATTATCACACTGGCATATTCCCACCAAGGCAGGGTGGCCCGAAAAAGAAAAACTTTCACCATCATTCACTCCATCACTGTCTTCCCAGAAGGGTGCTTTACACTACAGTTTCTAAACTGCAACATTAACACCCCTCCTTCAGAGTGCAGGCACTGTACTTCCCATCTCCAGGACTCAAGTCCGGCCTGCCGGTTTCCCTGAATCCCTTCATAAATGTTACTTTGCTCACACTCCAACAGCACGTCAAGTATTAAAAACCATTTGTCTCCATTCACTCCTATCAAACACGCTCACGCATGACTGCTGGAAGTCCAAGCCCCTCGCACACAAAACCCCTTTACCCCCTCCCTCCAACCTTTCCTAGCCCGACCCCTACCCCGCCTTCCTTCCACTACAGACTGATACACTCTTGAAGTTATTCTGTTTCGCTCCATTCTCTCCACATGTCCGAACCACCTCAACAACCCTTCCTCAGCCCTCTGGACAACAGTTTTGGTAATCCCGCACCTCCTCCTAACTTCCAAACTACTACGAATTCTCTGCATTATATTCACACCACACATTGCTCTCAGACATGACATCTCCACTGCCTCCAGCCTTCTCCTCGCTGCAACATTCATCACCCATGCTTCACACCCATATAAGAGCGTTGGTAAAACTATACTCTCATACATTCCCCTCTTTGCCTCCAAGGACAAAGTTCTTTGTCTCCACAGACTCCTAAGTGCACCACTCACCCTTTTCCCCTCATCAATTCTATGATTCACCTCATCTTTCATAGACCCATCCGCTGACACGTCCACTCCCAAATATCTGAATACATTCACCTCCTCCATACTCTCTCCCTCCAATCTGATATCCAATCTTTCATCACCTAATCTTTTTGTTATCCTCATAACCTTACTCTTTCCTGTATTCACTTTCAATTTTCTTCTTTTGCACACCCTACCAAATTCATCCACCAATCTCTGCAACTTCTCTTCAGAATCTCCCAAAAGCACAGTGTCATCAGCAAAGAGCAACTGTGACAACTCCCACTTTATGTGTGATTCTTTATCTTTTAACTCCACGCCTCTTGCCAAGACCCTCGCATTTACTTCTCTTACAACCCTATCTATAAATATATTAAACAACCACGGTGACATCACACATCCTTGTCTAAGGCCTACTTTTACTGGGAAATAATTTCCCTCCTTCCTACGTACTCTAACTTGAGCCTCACTATCCTCGTAAAAACTCCTCACTGCTTTCAGTAACCTACCTCCTACACCATACACCTGCAACATCTGCCACATTGCCCCCCTATCCACCCTGTCATACGCCTTTTCCAAATCCATAAATGCCACAAAGACCTCTTTAGCCTTATCTAAATACTGTTCACTTATATGTTTCACTGTAAACACCTGGTCCACACACCCCCTACCTTTCCTAAAGCCTCCTTGTTCATCTGCTATCCTATTCTCCGTCTTACTCTTAATTCTTTCAATAATAACTCTACCATACACTTTGCCAGGTATACTCACCAAACTTATCCCCCTATAATTTTTGCACTCTCTTTTATCCCCTTTGCCTTTATACAAAGGAACTATGCATGCTCTCTGTCAATCCTTAGGTACCTTACCCTCTTCCATATATTTATTAAATAATTGCACCAACCACTCCAAAACTATATCCCCACCTGCTTTTAACATTTCTATCTTTATCCCATCAATCCCGGCTGCCTTACCCCCTTTCATTTTACCTACTGCCTCACGAACTTCCCCCACACTCACAACTGGCTCTTCCTCACTCCTACAAGATGTTGTTCCTCCTTGCCCTATACACGAAATCACAGCTTCCCTATCTTCATCAACATTTAACAATTCCTCAAAATATTCCCTCCATCTTCCCAATACCTCTAACTCTCCATTTAATAACTCTCCTCTCCTATTTTTAACTGACAAATCCATTTGTTCTCTAGGGTTTCTTGTTAATCTCACTCCAAAACTTTTTCTTATTTTCAACAAAATTTGTTGATAACATCTCACCCACTCTCTCATTTGCTCTCTTTTTACATTGCTTCACCACTCTCTTAACCTCTCTCTTTTTCTCCATATACTCTTCCCTCCTTGCATCACTTCTACTTTGTAAAAACTTCTCATATCCAACTTCTTTTCATTCATAACATCAGCAATCATCTGATTCTTGTCATCCGCACTACATCCACGCACATTTAAGCATCCCAGTTTTATAAAGCTTTTGTTCTTCTCTTTTTTAGTAAATGTCTACAGGAGAAGGGGTTACTAGCCCATTGCTCCTGGCATTTTAGTCGCCTCATACGACACGCATATATATATATTATATATATATATATATATATATATATATATATATATATATATATATATATATATATATATATATATATATATATATATATATATATATATATATATATAATATATATATATATATATATATATATACATACATTTAATAACACTGCGACTAGCCGAGGGATCGAACCGTTTTGCTTCAGCCGGTCTCATGGTGAGCAAAAATTCACGACACTAGCCCACTGGACCATACAAGTGTATGGCGAGTGTATAGGCCAGTGGGTTAGACCGTCGTGAATTTTCGCTCACCATGAGGAGGGCTAAAACAACACGGGTTCGAATCCCTGCTAGTCGAAGTGTTGTTATTGATTAGGTTAGGTAAGGCTTGTCAGGAAACAGGACAAGTGTTTCCTAACGCCGGTTTTAGTCAGACGATGACCTGCCGTTGGGGCGTTTGGTCATCTGACCGAGGCATTCTGCTGGCTTACCGGTCTACCCCTTTATTTATTTATTTATTTATTTATTATTAATTTGGATATGATACATAGATGTACAAAGAAATACAATGTTTAAGTGCAACATGCCAAAAGCCCCTCGTATGCAGAGCATTATGGGCAGGCTTAAAATTAACTTAAGATGAACTAAGCAATGATATATTAAGTGGTAAAATTACAATAAACAAATAACAATTAAGCACAAATGAGTACTTCAAAGACAGATCATTATGGCCATTTGATGAGTTACTGTACATTCTATAAGGTAATGTAATTAAAAAAACAAAGTTTGATAGGGTCACATGCTATAATTTATGAGATGCAGTTATGCAGTATTTATTTAATTGTGGGTGAGTAAGTGGTTTTAGGAAGAGACTTGAATTTTTAAACAGTGTTTCTTTTATGGTCACAGGTAATGAATTCCAAATTTTTGGACCTTTTATGTGCATTGAGTTTTTGCATAGTGTGAGATGGACACGAGGAACATCAAAGAGTGATCTGTGCCTTGTGTTATGGTCATGTGTTCTGTTGAGGTTGGTAAGGAGACGTTTGAGGGGAGGGTTTATATCAGAGTTAAGTGTTTTATGAATGTAGTAGATACAATAATAAGTATGGATGTTGCGTACGGTTTAGAGTTTTGAATATTGGTGGAGTGTGCTGCCTGAATTGGGAATTTGTTATCATTCTAACTGCAGCCTTTTGTTGGGTAATTAATGGTCTGAGATGGTTTATTGTTGTTGAGCCCCATGCACAAATTCCATAGGTGAGATAGGGGTAAATAAGTGAGTGATATAGGGCCAGGAGGGCTGACTGTGGAACATAGTACCGTATCTTCGATAGTATGCCTACGGTCTTGGAAATTTTCTTGGAAATTTGTTGTACATGTGTTTGAAATTTGAGCCTATTATCAAGGTGGATTCATCATCCAGGTTGATATTTTCTGTAATTCGGTATTTACAGTATTGGCTAGCGTGACTGGGCTCGGGTGAGAGAAGACGTATGTAGTGTCATCTGCAAATAGTGTGGGTTTGAGTAGTTGCGATGCATTTGGTAGGTCGTTCATGTAAATGAGAAAGAGAAGAGGGCCAAGGACACTTCCTTGTGGAACCCCAACTGTAATTGGTTGTGTGGAAGAGTTATCTCCATTTGTATCCACATATCGGTTTCTTTTACTAAAGTATGACTTTAGGTAGTTGAAGGAGTGCCCTGTTATACCATAGTGTGTTAATTTAATGTGCAGCAAATCATGGTCAACTGTATCAAAAATTATGGTCAATTATAACCATTTAGTTATTTTTGTTATTGATTAAATATAACTTGTTCGTGGCCACAATACGGACCAAAGTGTGGTGGTCAGCTTGTGTCTCCTGTGTGTACGATAATTCTGTATTGTAACATTTCTCGGTACTCTCATTTCTTATTCTTACTTTTCCTATACTTTTTACTTTTAATATAATGATTAGCTTATTGCACAATGGCTTTTAAATAACTTAATTTCTGTGAAATGATAATGTTATTACTTATTACTTGGCCAGTTGTGTAATTTACTGGTTGCTAAAGGCACTTGTCGATAGTGCGGTGTGTGTGTGTGTGTGTGTGTGTGTGTACTCACCTAGTTCTCACCTAGTTGAGGTTGCAGGGGTCGAGTCCACTACATCGCTTCCCAAACTATCCCACTTCTTGACTATTCTGTGGCTGAAGAAATACTTCCTAACATCCTTGTGATTCATCTGTGTCTTCAACTTCCAACTGTGTCCCCTTGTCGAAATATAAACACAAATGCAGTATAATGTGATCCTTTATTGACTACGTTTCGCCCACACAGTGGGCTTTTTCAAGTCACAAACAGAACTGTTTGTGACTTGAAAAAGCCCACTGTGTGGGCAAAACGTAGTCAATAAAGGATCACATTATACTGCATTTGTGTTTATATTTCCATTGTGTCGGTATTTTATACCATTTATTTCCATTGTGTCCCCTTGTGCTGTGTGTGTGTGTGTGTGTGTGTACTCACCTAATTGTACTCACCTA